CTCCCGTTCATCGACGCCATTCAATCATTTCGAGTGAAGGACGTGAGGGCAGTCCAATGGGCTGTCGGCTGTTCATTCGGTACCAAGACGTTGCTCCAAATATGACAATTTTCGTACAACATCCGGGAAAGCCGAGCTTAGGATCGATGTAAGGAGTCTCTCTGTGCGGGGGAACGCTATCGAATTGATGTGCGTTTGTTTTGTTCGGAACTGAATTCCTGTTGCGGGGATCAAGGAGAGGGATTCGGATTCCGTGGACCTCTCACACTTAACCAAGTTGCTGGGGGAGTCTTGAACGCCTCCAAGTTTAGTCGATATCCAACCCGTAAGCTAACCCACTCTTCTCATGGTTCGTGCGCCACAACCTACACGATGGTATCCAACCCTTCCGCCACACCCGAAAAAATGGATACGTGGCTCGAACATGAATGCACTTAGGTCCAACTAAAGAAGCGGGCAAAGGACGTCCTCGACGCCCTAAGTCAAAACAACGAACAAGTGCGGCACGTCCAGCAAGAAAAGACCAAGGTGAGTGGGGGATGACTCTTGTGGTCGAGAAAATATCAATGGTATATGCACGCGGAATGTAAATCGTTCGAAGACGCAATCCTACCCCCAGCGTGAGCAAATCTCCCGACGAAGTCAATGCAGCCCACACCAGCGACGTTCACTATATTTTAACCCTTCAACGCAACGATTTTGGCATGATGCAACGAAGGTGCAAGAGATCTGGAATAAGCAAACCAAGAGTACCCGGGAGCAGCGTCAGGCGCAATTCTTGCGCATGGAGGAGGTGGAGAAGGCGCTGGAGCCAATTATCTCGGCGTACGAGGCGTCTAGAGATTTACTGTCCACCCTCCAAGAAGAAGACGTGAGCATTACACCGGCAAATACATGAGCGGAAAACTGTCAATTAAGAACCCCGTGACAGAAACGTGTTGTGTGTGGAGCGGGGGATGCACGAATATGGTGGTGGAGTCATTCAGAGTGGTAACGTGGGATGTATCGGGGACGACATGTCGTCTTGCGCGAGGAACATGTCGTAAAAACTGCACCACAAGTGAGAGGGGGGTGTCCCGAAACTGACATCCCTGACTGCTAGCCATCCACAGTGATTTTTCTGCTGTGTCGGATCGTTGCTGCGATCGCCGAAATGACAGTTTTGCTCCACCTCACGTCCGTGTCCGCACCTCGGGGTTGTCGCTGCACACCTTGCGGCCTGCACACCCCACGCCCGGCTGGATATCGATTGCTTTCAGATGGAGTTCTTGTGTACGCTCTGCCTGGGGTCCGGTATGTTCAACTCAGCCGCTGGGGCTAGCTCCCATGTGGCCGAGGCCACACAGCAGCGGATGCAGAAAGGCTTACACCAAGAGCTTCCATTCATCGTGGTGAGACCAATCATGCAAAGCTCGTTGACTTGCGGTCAATTCATAAAAGATAGGTATGGATCCCGTGAGGGTTGCCCGGTTCAGTCCTTGCAAAATACAGAAAAACGCCAACTGCACAGACAGTCGCTCCGGCTGCTTCCACCTGTGAGCAGGGTTCGCACACCCGTAAAACCTACGGTAAGCATTTGTTGAGATACCACATTCGCGGTGTTGCGACAGTCATCGACCCGTCAAACCCCATTTCTTGCGCAAATTGTTCAGTCCTCGGAGGAACTTGTTGTTGTTGCGGAATTGAAATGATCCATGACGTTCGTTCGCTTGGCAGGAAACCGTTGCCGTGATGCTGGGCAACATGAGCGGCTATCCTCAGGTCGTGGGGGAGTGGGTCCGCCTTAAGGCTTCCCCGTCTATAAAAATCGTTCGAGCGCTTCTCCTTGATCCAACGATCACCGAACGGTTGAGAAGGTGAATACCAACGAATTCGTCTTCCCACACCATCAAACTTGAGCAAAAGGGGTCGTCAAATTTAACTATCGGACGGAATGGTTTTCAAGTACCCACAGTCTAAATTCGTGTCTCTTGGCTGTCCGTTTCACCTCTGTCACCGCCATGGTCGCTCTCTCTGCCAACGTCGCCACGACGCGTTGGGTCCAGTTTCGACCCTGAGAGCGAGACTGGTCAGAGAGCCGTTAAGCTTGTCATCGAACAGATGGCTGAGCGATCAGCGGCTGACATGTCAAAGACGAAAGTTCCCGATGGAGTCTCGAAGGATGTACCCGGTAGGCACAGTGGCAGCAGGGATGGTGGCAGTGCCGATGGATCGGGTGATGGCTGCCCAGCAAGTTCGGCGATCCACTATGCGAAGAAGATTCCGATTCTTGCCCTTAAACTGGAGTCCAGGGCGTGCGGGTTGCTGGCGGCTTGGGTGCAAGCAACAGTGGTCCTGTTCGATGCCTTGTGCACGGCAGCAAAAACGTGAGACACATGTTCCGCGTCACATTATTTGGCTTCAAACGCCGTCAGCAGAAGGACGAGGATTGTGTGCGGCTGTCTCGGCCGTTGAACGTTAGTACAAAAGTGGTCAAACATTCGTGGAGGACGTTTTCATCGTCAAATTCATCCCCTGCCACGGACGGTTTGTCTTTTGTTCGGCCATTGAACATGAACGGAAGCCAACCAGACAAAACGCGCCGGTGACAATTCATAAAGCCCCTATTTACCGCCAAGCGCTTTCCCCTCATACCTCTGTCTCTTCCTATGGATTCACCGTACTACCGTTGGTGCCGTGTACTGTTGGACCCGTCCTCCGGAATATGATCCCCCATGCCACTCGTAATGACTTGGTTGGAGCTTACGGCAAGAGGGAGGTCCTTTTCTTGTCCGCGGAAACATTTTCGCGGCGAAAGTTGAGTCTTACACCGGCGACTGCCCCCCCGCTTGCCTGGACCATGATCGTCAACGCAAAGTCGTGCTGAAATCCAAGCAGACGCCAAGATAACTCACCAAGAGGAGGAACGCATACAAATTGGAAACACCGAGGAGGTATGCACAGGGAACGGCAAGCGGAACCTCAGAAGGCGATTGTCTTTTTGAGAGATGTGTTAATGGGTTGCACACCTTACCGTCTGGGCGAAATTTGACTCGTTCAGCCATTTGACGTTTGCCCCTCATCGGAAATACGTCACCTTGACCCCGAAGATCGCCGGCACCAGCGATATGAAATATCGCCACAGTACTGTGAAAGATATACGATTTCATCCAGTCATGCCGTGCGCCCATGGAATGTCCTTTGGCAGCGGTGCGTTGACAGAAACCAACAGAATACTCGGGGCACCCTCTGTCATAAAGGTGCTGAGGACCGTCGACCGCAACAGAACAATAGTGTGAAGTCTGCGCCTTGACAGTTGCTGCCAACGCCTTTTGAATGATGGTTCTAATAGCATTCTGAGCGCCGTGTCACTCCTTGATCGGAACATGCAGGTGGCCCCCCTGGACGAGGAGCTCGCGCTGCGCGCAACGTTCAAGTCGCGCTTGTCCATACGGCAGCGTACAATAAATCATCGGAGTGACCTGAACAAGGAACTTCGAATCATGAGCGGGGCTATCGAGGATTTCGCCTCTACGTGCCGACAGGTATCGTGCCTGGAGCATTCAAACTATCATTGTCTTCCGTTGTTCGCGGTGTTGCGTTTGTCTCTACCCACAGGTTTCGGCGATACTTCGTAGCATCGATCACGGCGCACCAGGTTAACACCTCGGCCGACGAACTATTTAATTTCCGCAGAATGAAAATGTTATGCCTCATCATACGGACCAGACTCTGCCTCCCGTCTACTTCATCGACGACTATACGGTGCAGCCACCTTGTCTCGGGCGGGCTCTCGAGTGCTATGTGCCGTTGCTGTGCAGGTCACCTTGAGCACATATGTAGAGTCATTGGCACAAGAACCATATACTAGCCGTAAGTGATAAGACATTTGGCAAAGGTTACAACGTTGACGGGACGTACTGACCAATGACGCAGGAACTCCATGATCTGGCGACAACCGCCGAGTTTTTCGCGGGAGATGCCCTCTGCTTCGCCAACATGGCCTGCCTTGGAGCCCATCTCCCACATACCCTGCGGGCGATCGCATTAGACAGAGCAAGGGACGCGGCCCGAAGATGTGGCATACCCACCAGCCGTCCGTGGGTGGATGCGTCGAAGGACCAAGAACCAGCAGCGGCATCAACACCTGTTCCGCACCAGGAGTCAAACAGCGACGATACTTCGGAACCAAAGACTGACGAGAGTGTACCCTCCGTTACAAGTGCTCTCAGCTTGGAACGGTATCGCGTTGGAAATTTCGCATCGGGCGTGTTGACGAACGTGACGCAATTACAAACCTGGACGTATCCTCCCAACGTCGATGTCGCAGACGACGGTGGTGAGGAGTCTGACGATGAATCCGACGGCGGTCGTGGGGGAGGGGACGATGATGCCGACGCCAGTCCCGGAAAATCTGCGGGCGCTGTCACCACCTCCTCTCTGCCGTTTCACCCGGCCTTCATGGACGCCGCAATATTGACCCTGAGCACACCCAAATGGCCCCTTATTTTGGACCCAGAAGGCATCGCTCTCAGGTAACGGGTGTATTCTTTTCAACTACGATGATTACCTCGAAGTTCCAAATGATATGAGTGTTTGGATCAACCACAACACCTAGGATGGTACGCCAAATCTTGACGGCATCGAGAGATTGTGACAGATTAAGAAACCTTTTGCCTAGAACTTTCAACGGGCATGGGTTATGGGCTCAAACTCACCACTTTCGCAGAATGCAACAGACACCGCCTCGTCTACGTCGCATCGCCATACCTCCCCAAGGTCATGGGAGTCGAACCGTTCGCTTCTTCCCCTTCTTGTCCTCATTTTAGATGCTCTGCAACAGCTCTGCCTCACTGCTAATCCTCGACCTATCTCTATCTCGCCCAACAATGTGGAGGTCATCCCTCGAAATCAGCTTTGGCTTCACCACGTTCACAACGAAATATCCACGTGGCATGTACAGATGGCTTCGGCGCGTCTATCCAGGAAACTCTCGACTGGAAGCTCCCCTGCCTGCCTCTATGGTCAGCATGGACATCATTGCAGCGTGCGCGGCGAAGGGGGAAATCCTACCGGTTTGCTCCACCGAGGGAGGGGTCCACATCGATTTGGCGTTGTTCCTCGGGTCCATCGTCCTTCCAGTCGAAGCGGCGGAAGAAAAAAAGCCACCATGCAGGAAGCAAGGCGGCAAGCCAGAGTCCAACGCTTTCCTTAACGGCGGTGGAAGTAGCGAGTGTTATGGTTCTGTAACGGTTGGTGAAGAGTCGCAGTCCTCCACCACATTCTTGGTAAAAATGGGGTTTCGGCTGATTCTTTTCACGAGATCTCTCGACTTTGCAAACCCCCAGCGCTTAAAATCCCCCAGCAACGTGACACCGATGGTGTTCTTGGAAGACTCGCCAGAAGCCTTCTCTGGTGTTCAACTTATTCGATTCGGAGGCGTAGACTCTGTGGGCTCGGCGGCTGGAGACGATGGCGGCTGCAGTTCGTTGGACACCAAAGGTTGTAAATCTTCCTCGGACGTAACAAGTCCCGAACTTGTTGCAGGAGAGGACACATCGGGGTTATCTTCCCCTTCCGATGACAACGAGTCGAGCAACAGCGGATCCAAGGAGGGTGAGGACGCCACGATTCCCCCACTCGTGACAGGCGGCATGAGACTGAGATGCCAGCCGGGGCTCGAGATGTCGAACGCGATGGGTGGTCGGCTTCAGGACGAGATGGTGCGAGCACTTCCACCCGCTCTCGAGGCGAGGGGATCAGACGAACGTCAGGTGAGCGCATCCAGAGCGGCCTTTTCGATTGCCCAAAAGGAGGCTCTAGCATACTCGTGCCAGCTCAGCGCTTCTCATGAGGCCGTGATTACGCTTCTCGCAGCTAGACCGCCGTGCTTCACTCCAGACGTGCCACGCCGAGCCCCTGATCCCACTGTTCCGTCGGGTGGAGAACCGCCGAGTGGAGTGAGCGACGACGTCGAACGCGACCAGAACAGGGTCCTCAACAACCTGATCGAGACTCTATTCGCATACAAGAGCACAATCGAAAAGGGACCCGACACGGTGTCACGGTGCGAGCGAGCCTCACAAGCGCAGCATGCGGAGGTCGCCCGCAACGGCGAACAGGTGGCATACCGCCTGACTTCATGCGCCCTTCAGTTTCTTGCCCGAAGTGGAGATGTTCTTCACGCCTGCGGATCGGACCCTGTCTTCTACAGCCCGGTCTTCCCCGGGGTTAAAGCTCTGGTGCACAGCGCCATCCGCAATGTCGCCGGCGCGATGAGGCCGCTAAATCAGGACCGGGAGGGAGAATTGGAGCGCGTCGTTGTGGGCAGTTTGACGCGAAGTATGACTACAAGAGTCCCAAGCGACTGCACGTGGGTCGTTCCGCTGGCAGCGTTGGCCGTCGGTAACCCGGACGACTTTCCAGCAAAAGGATGGTGGGATGCTTTCGGTACGCTCGTTGCTGATCGACGCAGGGGGGGCGAAGAACCAAGTGGAGATTCCAGCCGAATATCACTAGCGAAGCTTTTCAAAATGGTTACGGCAGCAGATAAGGTCGGAGCCAGTGACAGCCATGCGGGCATCGCACAGGAGTCAGACTGTAGCCCCGGCCGAGACCCCGACCATCTGGAAGCCCATACACTGGGTGCTGGCCAGGATGAGTCTGCCACCCAGGGAGTGAATAAGGTTCAGGCCGTTGTCAATTCGTGGCGTGAGCACCACGATAGTGAGGTACCGACGGTGACAACTGTGAATGACGATAGAGAGCGGGAGTCTGTTCGCGAAGCCGGCGACGACGAAGAAAGCGACGGCGATGAAACCATCCAACCTGGAATTACCCTGTCACCTCAGCGGTGGGATTTAGGGTTCGACACCTCTGACTGGGTGCGAGATGGAGGTGCCGCGGCTGCTGCTGCATACAATAGAAACCAAGGTACCTCTTCCGGGATCGAGGATGGTGTCGACGGTCCCTATGAGCGTGGTGCCGGAAACTTTGACTCTTTCTGTTTTTCCCTTTCAAGCCTGTGGACGGCGGCCGTGAGCGATCGATCCAAGATGAATGCCACCCAGGCGGCGCAAGCCAAGGCGTTCAGCAGCGATGGTGTGCTGCGCCGTCTTGTGCTTCTGGAGGCCACCATGAACAGCGTCTTTGGCCGCCTGCCGGGTTTTGTGTTGTGCGAGGCCAGTAAGTGGTCGGAATGGATCTGCGAGGTGTGTCGCTCCCTGAGCACAGTGCGGGAAGGCTGCGGAAACAACGCGCCCATAGGCTGGCTCCGCTTCTTGTTGTCACACCCCCCTCCAGTGTTTGATTCAAAACACAGTGTGGGTGACGCGAATTCGTCGTCTAGTTCATCGGTTTCTACCGAAAGCAATAGCGGGGACAGTGACAGTGGCAGCACCAGCAGCACCAGTGGGGAGATTGGGGTTGGCGAAGCGATAGATGAGGAAAAGACAAAGAGAGGTCAAATTTCGGAGACCGCAAATGATGACACTTGTTCCGAAACCGGTGCTGCTTTTTCTGGCGAACTCAAGCAGCGGGAAGCACCCGGAGCGGGTGCCCCTCACAGGAAGGTCCGTCGAGATTCACGCGAACGAATGAAGATCAAGCTTGGCCTTGTAGATGGGCTTGGTATCGCTGTCGGAAGTGAGCAGAGCGATGAGATTGTGTCCGCGGAGACTAGTAAGGAATTCACTGCCCGGGCCAGCAGTCTCTTCGGCATCTCCACATCGAGGTTGCGAGGGGTGGCCTCCGCCAAGAAGCTGCCCTCTTCCGCTGCTGCGAATAGTGCAGATGCGGACAGCGATGAGAGTCTTCGTTTTAGTCGTACCGAGAACGTAGGCATGCCAGCAGCAGAGGGGACGACGCCAGCTTTGTTGAACGCCAGCACCCAGTTCGACACCGGCGAAGACGAAGAATCAAAATTCATCACTTTTGTCGCGGAAACGTTCCGGCCTCAAAGAGACGACAGCGACTGGCACAAGGAGGACCAACCCGTCCCCACTCCGCTGGAAACATCGACGGGCGCCAAGAATACCGTTGCCCTCGTAGTGGCCGATCAGTCGACAACATCGGTATCAACGACCACCGTCGTGGAAGATGACATGACATCGATGGCGACACATCCAGAGGACAAAACTGTCAAGAACCAAATGATACAACAGCGGATGACCTCTGAGGCAGACTCGTCACCTGTTGCCAGCTCCCCTCCGACGGCTGATCACGATGGTTCCGCCACGGCCGCCGCGCTCGGGGCTTCGCCCGAGCGGACTACCATCGGCAATCCTCAACAATCACCGTCCACTGCAGATAACCCAGTTACGGCAGTAGCCAAGGAGTTTTTTGCAAGAGGAAACTTGAGGTGCGAGAGGGAATGTGTGTAGTGCCCGCGTTTTCCCCCTTTCAACGAGCGTGGGTGATCCTGTTGCAATTTTCCATGAACGTGATCCCCCAAGTCGATATCCGCAACACATTCGAAAAAAAAGTCCACACGGAGCCTCGTGATTCTTCTCCCGCAGATAAATCGCAGGCAGTAGCTGTGCCGTGTGCCCTGTGCTCTTTTCTACTTGCCTCATCCTGTTGTCACCAAATCATTCTGTCCACGTTCTCTCAAACCCAAACGTGTGTCCTGGTTCAACCCCTGATATCAATAGCAACGAAGAAACAACGGAGCGGTGGGAAAACCTCAACGCCTCTCGCCGGAAGAGAAATATTCACAGCAGTAGCCCTGCCGTCCGCGTGGTAGCGTTCTCGGCAATGTTTCCGGGAAAAAAGAAGCGGCGCCAGGTTCTACAGGTTCTACCAGAAGAGCTTGGATCATGGCCACAGAGATGGAATGAGTCTCCATTGATCGGAATCGTGCTGTTGCTAGCACTAGCACCCGATGGACAACTCGCAGCCCAGTGTGCGGCGGCCTGTTTAATGGCGGAGGGTGGTAGGGACAACCTGCAGAGATCTAGCCTGTGGCGGGAGCTCAAACATGAATGTGCTATCGGCATTTCTCAGCGGGGTCGGATCCAGCCAACGCTCGCAAACTCACGTTCATGGGCCCCTGTCGTGGTGCGTACAACTGCTGATGAGTCTGTCGCTCTTGACGAGCTGCTGAGTAAAGGTTATGGTTTCCTGGACTGTCGCAGATATCAGTTCGCAGATATCGATATCTAGCTGCCGGTTTCATTCGTTTGCCGAAGAAAACGCCCAACATCGCATGTTTCAGTGTGGGCATGAAAGACGCGTGTGTCGTGCCAACTGTTTCCTATTGCTGTGTGTATTTGCCAGCCTCTCTCATTTGAGACGCTGAGCATTTTCCTCCTTAAACGTGTGTTTGGTTGTGATCCTGTCCGTAAACACGCCCTCGTGGCAGGTAATGGTTCCGGCAGGTGGCGATATTGCCGAAGCTGTCAGCCGTCACTTCTTCAGCGTGCTTTCTGATATCGAATGCGCCGCGAAAGAGGCAGGAACCACCGTTACTGTCCACGACGCGTCCAAACCAGCGCATGCGCTCCTATCGCGGGGAGTTCTCGTGGGACAGGCGCGGGGGCAGCAAACAGGTCACTCTAGGGCGCGGGGGAGGGGCAATCCCGCTGCGGGTGCCATCAACGGGGGTCTTTCAACTGCAAACATGGTGTGACGAAGCCCGTTGTCCCATTAGCTCTCAGCCTTACCCCAACCCTAACGGTGGTTGAGAAATCTGCATAGTCCCTGGGAACAGGGAAAGAGAAAAACTTCGCATTGCATAGGCGTGCGCAGGATTATATTTTTTCCAGATGCATATTTTTTCCTCGACGTGCGCTGTAAACATCGAGCGCGGTAGCTCGGTTTCTCATTCCAGAGAAACCATCTTTTTCCCACCTAAACACGGCACTCATGATGCTTACTTTCCTCTTTTGTAGTCTTGCCCTCAGCTCTCTACCCCCGCAAGTGCGAAGACATTGTTGTAGTTTTTCTCTTGGCCAAGGATAATATAATGCAAGTATTGGATTTTGGATGAAGCCTCCAGGTCCGGCCTATGTATGGTCCACCCCATGCTTTCCTGGCCGTGTTCTGTTCTACCACTGACCTGGAGCCTGGTTGAGTCACCTTAACTTTCGTGCACGTAGCCATTGCATTGGCACTTCTTACTGCGGGCACAAGCTCCTAAATCGGCTGCCTACTGTTAAGGAGGACCCGATTCGCAGGGTATGCGTCGATTGACTTTTACCAGAACCGGTACACCTTCGCACTACCCAGTGGTACCAACCCTAATTAGTTGAATCATGCCCCGGGACGTGCGAACCATGGCTAGACACAATCGGCGTGGGACGCCTGCCTGAAAGCGGCCACCGAAGGAGGATGGATCGTCATGAAAGACTTTGGGGGGGCAGCTGAAAGTCTTTCATTGATCGTGGATGGTATTCGCCGCCGCTCGGCGGTGAGAAATGCCTCGGTCGCTGCGGCCGAGGAGCAAGAAAAGGTTGAGCGGGAACAACAAGCGTTGGTGAAGATGAGGAGGACGAGCACCAACCCCAGGACAAGTCTTGGTGATCGCAAAGACGGTTCATTTCCTCACCATGGTCTGGACGGGGAATCGCGGGGTGCTGGAATGGTGCGGGCGGGAGAGCGGCAAGGGAGTGCCATGATCAGGCAGTTGGTGAGGCCGGGGGTAGCACGAAGCAGCAACGAGGTTTCGTCCAAAATGTGCCCAGACTTCCCTCTATTGAAGGCGCTGTCGGGCGGGGAAGGGGGCTCCATGAGTGCCAGGGTGCAACCCGTTGTTGCCGCAGCGCTTCGGTGAGAAGGCATCTTTCGACTAATGTACTGTAGTACTGTTGAGCGTGTATCGGGGAAAAACCAACTGTTATTTGATTTCTCACACCCTTCAAAATTGTCACCATGAAGAAACATTCGACTTCGTTCGGATGGCTTGCTTGATCTCAACGAAGCCGTGTGTTTCGGATGTGATGATCGAAAGAACTGTTGTCTGGCATCCGTAGCAAAAGTTGAAACCAAGAACACGCCATCCACCGCCGCATGACGTTACGGTCTGCCAACGGTTTTCTTGATCCACACCGCAGACGCCCGTTACCCGTACCACACAAAAGCTTCCGCGTCATCCTTCTGTCCACCGCCTCCTCCGAGAGACGAGCACGAGACGACCACCGAAGTTTCGTTATGGGTGAAAGCACCGTGATTTGGTGGCATCCAGCTACTGCGTGCATAGAGACAGCAGAAGCGCCATCGGCACCGGGGAGTTTAGCATCCGGTGGGGACCTGGCAATGGTTTCTTGTCGAACTGAGATCGTCAAGGAACTACTCGGCGTCGCTTCGGGCTCTCGTGCCCTCTCTGAACCTGAGCCTGAAGTAGAATTGATCAGTGAAAGTTTCACAACGTGAGTATACTGGTATGTCATACGTGATTGTGCAGGTAGATCCAAACCCCTGCAGATTTACAGTCCAGGTCATGAGATCCTTCAGGTGCACATTCATTCCTTGTGTCGCTCAGTGAGATAGGCAATAAACAACATGGTACACGAGTTTCCGCGCATCGTCCGCTTATATCGCCTCCTTCCACCACTGTCGCTGTAACACTACACATGTTTACCTACGATGGTAGTTTGCAGTCATCATACCGCTCCTCAAGCTCTACATTTGTGGACGTTATTCGAGTGCGTGTTTTTGTCGCCAATAATACCTCAAGAATTCGCGCTTGAAAACGCCATGGTTGTCGAATGTCTAGACTAGCGTAGTACGTTTGGCGAGGGCATCAACAATACGTCTTCCAGCATCTTACCGTCGTCGCCCCCACTCGCTAAAGGTACATGGAAGCGGAGGCCAACGGGCAGGGCGTAGACGGTGCGGCCGTGAATATGCATCTTGCTGCAAGCCTCATCGTTCTGCAACAAGCTGGTGCATGTGGCGACGCAGCGCTCCCCACAGCACCATCCCCGCTGTACCCAAAAGCTTTGGCAGGAAATCGGAACAACCCTCCTCCCAATTCATGGCCGAAGCAAGATACCTCGGGTGGAGAGATTGCTACCTCAACTCGCAGACGAAGAAAACAAGTTGATCGCGTGGTAGATGCAGCAGCTCGCGCGAGCGCTGTAGCGACAGGGCTTTCCAACGCTGCCGTGGTCGACCTCGTTGCCGGCGTGCTGGACCAGGAAGCTACGCATGCCCGCGAAATGAGGCTGGTGGGAGAAATCAAAGTAATGGCGGGCCTGAGAAAAACAGAGGTAGCCAAACGAGTTCCACTTGACGTCCGTTCAGCAGCAACCCAGTCAACAGAGGACGGCCACAAGTTGTAATCGAGTCATCCAATATACGATGAACGGAATAGTGTCGGGGGAAAGTATGGCACTGGGACTGGTCAGGCAACATCGCTCCTCTCTCGGTACACAGGATTTTGAATATATCGAGGCTGTAGCGTGTTTGTTGTTGATGCTGCCGTCCGCGAAAATGGTGGGGAGACAATAGTCTACTCGTGTAGGTGTCCCGAGAAGGGAAACGTCGACGTAGTACCTGGTGTTATGTAGTTGAAATAGCATGGGGAGCAATGGGAAATTGTACTCCCTCCTGTCTCTGCCGCAGAAGTATTTGCTCGATGTCTAAATCGAGGCTTCCCGCGCAACACTTTGCTGTTTGTTCACCACAGAGGTACCCAATACTGTTGCAGCAGTGGTGACGTGTGTGTATAGTGAACTCTCAGCCCATTGGTGTGGATGACCAAGTAGCGCGCTCACTTTCGTTTCCGCTGACCGTTGATGATCTCCCAAATCTCCGAATCCAGATTTCCGCTCGACGTTCACAGACGGATGTTGTAGTCCACAGCAGTAGGATGTCTTGACCTCCGTCGTGATGTCCGCAGCTCCTAGTGTTCGCGTAAAGCGAGGCGCATAACCTCACAAAATGTGACGTTCTGCAGCAGCGGAGGTGGCGGTGCTGCTGTAGCTCGTAGACTTTGTAGTCTACCACAGAGGTTGCACTGCTGTCACCGCGGTACTGCTGTAGCTCGTAGACTTTGTAGTCTACCACAGAGGTTGCACTGCTGTCACCGCGGTACTGCTGTAGCTCGTAGACTTTGTAGTCTACCACAGAGGTTGCACTGCTGTCACCGCGGTACTGCTGTAGCTCGTAGACTTTGTAGTCTACCACAGAGGTTGCACTGCTGTCACCGCGGTACTGCTGTAGCTCGTAGACTTCGTAGTCTATCACAGAGGTTACACTGCTTTGAGATCGGTAGGCCCGAGCGAGCTTCGGAAAGAGAAATGTACATATATGTTCTTATCAACTGACTCCCTGGTCAGGCTTTGATGGGTGCTAGATGANAGCGAGCTCTGGAAAGAGAAATGTAGATAGATTTTCTTATCAACTGACTCCCTGGTCAGGCTTTGATGGGTGCTAGATGAGAGTGAGCACAAGGGGCGAAGGCGCGCTTGTGTCTCAGCTCAACAACAAAACAACAAAACAAGCAGCAAACACAGCAGGTTCCGAGGGTCTCCGGGGTGTTGGCCCGAGTACCGGAATTTCGGGGTTCGGAACAATAAAACAACTACCATACATAGAGTCTCGCCTGCCAAATTATTTCCGCTACAACTCTGGGCTCATGTTCTCTGCTTGATACCATCCCTTCTTTCTGTATTAGGGTGTACAGCCTCGGTGGTTTGATAAGGGTCATGTGAAGCAGGAAAGCCGAAAAAAAGAAGCTGCAGAACATATATATATATGTACATATATTCTACAGGAGTATATATTTTATACTGGAGTATACATGAATATAAGCAGCGCAACACGTTCCGCGCGAACGTAGATATATATATATATATATCGGACTATATTGCATACATATTAATGGACATATAATATTATGACACAAAAAACAAAACAAAAGTGTATATATTCATTATAGGCCCAGACAAACATGAATGAAAAGCATAGAGGTACTAGATCGAGTACACAGCAGTGTGTGGGGGAAAATGAACGATGTACTACTGCTGTATGCTTGGGAACGCGAAATTCATGTTGAAGAACCAAATCGGGGGCGACCCACGTCTCAAAGGAAACCGCATATAATATTCACGTGACCCCTAAATTATGTACATATAATATGGAATACGGAGGTGCGGACAAAAACTAAAAAAGACCGGAACGCGAGCAGAAAACAGAGAGATCTGAGCCCGGAAAAACGGGTGGCCGCGAAAAAGGGCGTTCGGCAAGTGTGAGAGAAAACCCGGATGAGCGAAGACGAGAGGGGAAGGAATGAGAGAGGGCATGGGTAGCCCGAGACTGTCGTTTGGAACCTCGAAATGTTTAAGAAACCGGAGGGAAAGCGGGTCGAGAAAAATGGAAAACGATTACAGCCGTCACGAGAAACGAAAAAGTGGTGGTTGCCGTAATCGCAGGTGGGTCGCCGAAAAGAGCAAAAATCAAACGCACAACAAAGGACTCACCTTGGCCGAGACGCTGACGTAGATTAGCGACTGCTTGAGGCTANACGAGGGCCCGCTTCACGCGGGCGTCGTTGTCCTCGTCGGACACTCCTGCGGCACGAGCGGCCAGGCCGACCTTGAAAATCTCGGGGGGCGTGGCTGCGTCACCCGCCTGCGTGAGGGCGAGGAAAAGCGCCGACACGCTGTCGAGAGACGCGCCCTCCAGCGGACGCCCGTGCGGAAGGGCGCCGTCATTGGAGGTTGATGGCCCGGATGCCGCCCGGCGTGGCCGCCTTGGCGAAGATGTCGAGGAACTCGTCGTACTCGGTGGGGACTTCCAACACGGCAGGGTCAAACCCGGCGATAGCGCTCATGATTCAAGGAGAGAGCGCCAAAAAACAGGGGAAAACGAATCTTGCAGGAGACGAAAGGTCCCACGCACAGATCGGGCTAACGAGCGGGGTGTGGGAGCGGTGGACTGAGCGTCTCAAAGGGTATCCTCTTTCCTCTGGTTTTCCTGTCTCGGACACGTGACAGAAAAGGGAGTGAAGAGCTGTGCACGACTTTCCTATATTCCGTGGATCTTTATGGTAGAAGGAAGATGGGGAACGTTCCTTTTCCTAATCTCCGCTTTTCATAATCCAACTCTGTGCTCATGTTCTCTGCTTGATACCATCCCTTCTTTCTGTATTATGTCTACGGAAGGCTAATTGCCGCAGTCGCACCTGTGGTAACCTGTGCCTGACTACCTTTATTTAGCAGTTTTCCTCGACAACATGTACTAGAGTTAGAGGTGGAATAGTTTTTTGTGGTGGTTGCACAAAATTACCTGCAGTAGGCTCGTGCGTCTGTTACAGAAGAACGGGGGGCGGTC